TCTCTCTATCTATATATATATATATATATATATATAGAGAGAGAGAGAGAGAGAGAGAGAGAGAGAAAGGATGGTTATACTAATACTGGTGTAACTTTTACTAAGTATTACACATCGCTCAATAACTTTATATTAAATGTGAATTTTGTAAATCCAACTGTTAGATTAAAAGTTCATATCACTTTATATGTTTATATCAAATTTTGTTAAAACTGAATAACATCGTGAAGGTAATCAAAATGTTCATATGTTAGTATATTTTGAAATGTATATATTACATTAATTTTGTTTTATAAGAATGAAGTATCAAATCATCTTGGATTAATATAAAAAATTTTATATGTGATTTAAGAGTAAAGAATTTTCAATTTAACGGTTGGATTTACAAAATTCTAATTTAATATAAAGTTACTGAGCGATGTAATACTTAGTAAAAGTAATTATATCGGTGTTATTATAACCCTCCTTATATATATATATATATAATTTTATTGACCTTTTTTAATATATGATTGTCAATTTTTGTAAAAAATTCTTATATTTTTGACAAATATAAATTTGTTGAAAATATTCCATCAGTAATATAATTTTTCCTGCGAATTTTTTTTCCATCAAAAATATAAATTTTCCAACGGATAAATTTGTCATAATTTTAAAAAAATATTTAACATATATTCTTTAATTCTACATAATTCTTTCATATAAAAATTTCATAAATAAAATTTAATATTTTGAGAGGGATCAATAATTCTTCACAAATTTCATCATAAAGAATTTTAAGTTATTTGTAACGGAATTTGTGACAAAATATAAATGTTGACGAAAATTTCATCACAAAATCCGTCACCGATTTATTTATTATAGTATTGTGACGCATTTTTGTGAGGGAATATTTATAGAGGAACTTAATGTGTCACAAAATCTGTCACTAATTTTATTTTTTTATTTAGTCACGAAAATTGTGGCAGATCGTTTAGAGGCAAAATTTAACTCGTCACTAATTTTGTTTTGTTATTCAGTAACGAAAATTGTGACAGATCTTTTAGAGACAAAATTTAATCCGTCACTAATTTTATTTTTTTATTCAGTGACAAAAATTGTGGCAGATCTTTTAGAGAAAAAAATTAATCCGTCACTAATTTTATTTTTTTATTCAGTGACAAAAATTGTGACGGATCTTGTAGAGACAAAATTTAATCCGTCACAAAATCCATCACTAATTTTATTTTTTTTATTCAGTGATGAAAATTGTAATGGATCTTTTAGAGACAAAATTTAATCCGTCACAAAATTTGTCACAAACTTCAAAAAATGGTAGTCTGTCACAAAAATTAAAATTCCCTCACAAAATTCATCACTATTAGTGACGATATTTTGTCCATCACAAATATTCGTCACAAATATTAATTTTTCTAGTAGTGATATGTCTTATGCAAAAGTTAAGGATAAAAGAATAAGAAAGGAAAAAAAAATGTTTGCTTGAGTTGAAAATCGAAAGGTAGCTCAAATATTCCATCTACGAAGCAAGACTCCATGAAATTTCTACTTCAAGCTCTACTTTCTACAGGCTCTATAGCAGAAGGCTACCTTGTGCAAGAGATTCTTACATGTCGTTCAAGGTATTTAGATAACATTGAGACAAGATGGAATTGACCTGGCCGTGTAGATGATGAGCCATATGATAGACAATCTCAATCACAAGTAGGTGAATTGTGTCCCGTGGTTGGAAAACCTGTTGGTGGCTCTTCATATTTCACCCTTACCCCCAAGGAGAAGTTACAAGCTCATAGACATGTGTTAACGAATTGCCATGTGGTTGATTACTATCTTTAGTAAGTAATTATTTCACTTGGGTGAATTATTAAGTTCTCTCTTTTTTTTCTTCGTATATCTAATATGATATAACTAAGTAGGTTTAGAAATATTCTACGAAGGCAGCTAAGAGGTGGTGCAAGGAATGCTGCCGAGATAGATAAGAGGGTTCATAGAGATTTTGTTCGTTGGTTTTCTAATCGCGTAAGTGCTTATGCATTCCAAGTTCAATATGTTTATTTTTAATAAGAATTTGACTAACAATATGTATTATGCCATTAGATTGGAAATAATCTTGACAGTTTTAGCGAACCAGATAAAGATGTTCTTATTAGTCTTGCGCAAGGTCCTTTTGATCGAGCTAGAAGGTTCACGACATTTAATTTTAATGGATAAAAATTTCAAATCTTAACACAAGACAAATTTTTAAAAACTCAAAAAAGTGTAGTTTTTGGCACATTTGGAACAAGAAGCTACTCAAGCAATAATGATGCCCAAATGCGATTTGGAGGGGTGCCATACTATGGAAGATTGATAGATATCATTGATATTTTCTATAATGGGTTCACAGTACCCATGTTTAAATGTGAATGGGCTGAGACCACTACTTCAAGAGGCATGAAAGAAGATAAGTTGGGTTTTATCTCTATTAACTTTACAAGAATAATACATACTGGTGAAAAAGAAGACGATGAACCATACATTAAAGCTTCTGAAGCTCAAATGTTTTATTATGTAGAGGATGAGAAGGAACAAGGTTGGAGCATACCATTTCATTTGAAACCTAGAGACTTTTATGATATGGGTGAAGATGATGAAGAAATTATGGCATCCATTGAGGCATACCCATCACACAACTTGGAACAAATATTTCCTGATGATGCCACACATATACTATTGGCAAGAATGACTACAGATGATAATCCTAAAAATTCAACCATCAATGAAAATTTGATGAAGATAATCAAGATATGGTTTAATAAGAGTCATGAGTAGGAAACCTCTTTATTTGTTTTGCACAAGATATTGTTGTTTGGTTTAAACTTTGTAGTAGCTATATGTTTATCTTCTACTTTTAGTTATTAAAGTTAACATTATTGTTTATGCAGGTATGCCTCATATAAGAAGACATGTTGTGGCTAGGTGTCAATCCACACCGAATGAAGAAAATAGTTCCTCCATGGGCACTCATCAAAGTGTAGAGGTTCAACTACCTCAAAGTGAGCCTATGCCAAACATTAATTGAATCATATTTTCATGATGACATACATGCTACTTCACCCACCCGCTTCGAATCTAGGAGGTCGACACACCATGAATCTGATGTGGTTGAAGATTCATCTGTGGCTCAGAAAAAATCTCGTACCTATTGGAATGTTGATGTTATTGGTATGTTTAATCTAATCTTTGTTATCTCATTATTATTTATTGCAAACTTGTTGGGTTGTTGATGTTTGGTTTATTTACATGTTAGAAGAAAAAGGTTTTGTTAGGAAAACACGTTTAAGGGTGTAAGATGTGTTTGCATCACGTGATGCCACTAAGGTGTGTACCAAGTGGAATGCTGAAGGTCAACCAATAGGAGAGTCTGCTGGTTTATTAGCAGGATTTTTGGGTGAAATTGTAAGCAACTTCAGTAATTTCCCTATAATGTACGAGACTTGGAAAAAGGTTCAAAAAGATTACAAAAACAATCTTTATAAAGAAACTATAAAGGTATCAATTATAATTAACTGCACACATGTGATTTCTTGTGGAATTTGTGTACTAATGATAACTTTCATTATATTGTGGCAAAGGAAGAATTTGATGTTAATGATCAAGAGCATAAAAAATATATCTTAGCTAGCTTGGGAAAGAAATGGAGGGACACTCGATGTAGGTTGTTTCACAAAAATTATAATTGGGAGATTTCTGTGGAAGAAAACTGTCAAATGCACCCACCAGAGATTGACCCAAACTATCGGAGGCTTTTTGTACAATTTAGGACGAGTCCTAAACAAATGGTAATATGTTTTCATCTTCCATTGGTTATAAGTTTGGTTACATATATTGACTTTTAATTTTATTAAATTTAGGACATATCTGATAAAAATGCAGCAAACCGTGAAAAGTTATTGATCCCACATACTCTAGGATCAAAGACATTAGCAAGAAAAAGGGATGAGTTGGTATGTAAAGTTCATTTAGTCTATTTTGTTTGAAGAAACTAAAAAAAATTGTTTGTATAATTATTTTTGGTATGGTGCAAAATGTTAGGAAGTGCAATATGGACGACATTATAGTAGAGGAGATATGTATCCTATTGCTCATAAAAAGAAGGATGGATCGTTTGTGAATGAAGATGCTAGACAAAAATATGTGCGTACAATATATTATTTGTAATTTTCAATTACCATTTGCTCTTCACTCATATAAGTTATCTTTTACTATTCATCTATGTATTCAACATTATATGTAGGAACAATTGCATAATGAAATTCAAGATACTTCTCCTGAGAATGAGGCATTCTTGAAAGTGTTTGGAAAGGAGCATCCCGGATATGTTCGAGGCATGGGACTCGAGGTTACTCCGACTCAAATCATTGGATCATATTCTTCCTATACGAGGTCTGGATCTTCATCAAATGCAGCCACGATAGCACAATTGCAATTAGCTTTCCTTATGCAAATTGTTAAAGTAAATCAGGTATAAAATAAAGTCTTTAAAACATTGTAAATTTTATTCTCCAAGTAAAAATTCAAATATAATTTGTAATTATTTTAATTTCAGGAAGCTGAATTGGAATCACCAGCAGATTTGAGACGTTCTTCTGAGTCTAGCCATGTTCCTGAAGATAATGGAGCGATGGACTATTTAGAGATTTGCTTCAATTTTAGTTTGTTAGGAGATTTTATGACCATCTTTATATTTTCGTTGTTTTTATGTACCTAAGTTTCTTAAACTTAAGGACCACTTCTATGTTTGAAAGATGCAAATCTATTATGTACTAAATTTGGATTTAATATCTTTATTTAATGAATGACATTTTTATTTGCATCATTTGTATTAGTTTATCTTGATCACATATGTTTGAGATAATTTAAACAAATAGGTTGAACATGTAATTATAAAAAAACATTTAATTACAAATTGGATGCGAACTAAATTGCGGCGGTTACAAACTGCTGCAAATTTTTAATACAAAAATGCGTGTTTACATTTGCGGCGGTTTAAAACCGCCGTTAATTTTTAACTAGTTTCAGTTTCCAAAATAGCGACAATTTTATAATCGCCACAATTTTATCGAATATGTTGCGGCTGTTTAT